TGCAGGACGGGTGTGTGTGTGTGTGTGTGTGTGTGTGTGTGTGTAAGTAATTATTTACACTGCAGGGGCTTTGAATCAGGTAGGTTGGTAGACAGACAGATAGATAGATATGCTTAGATTTCACTGTCAAGGCTACCACAGTTGTTAGGATTCTTCCACAGCAAATAGCCATATGCTGAAACTCTGGAAATGTTTTTTTAGACTTGTTGAGTTTTATTTTAATGCCCCCCCCCTCATTCTAAAGCTTTATATTGCAGTGATGTATTTTTAATGCACCTACAAGGCTGTTACTTAATTTTTTTAGTTACTGTGTGTGAAACACTTGAAATATTTGCCCTCTGTGTTGGCCCTGCAGTATTAAGAATAAGAACTTACATTTCCACCTTTTATTACATTTCTATCCCACCTTTCCTTCATGGAACTCATGGTGGCCTACATTCCTTTCCTGCAGCCCTCTTATCATCACAACAACCCTGTGAGGTGGCTTAGGCTCAGGAAGGTTTTGGGGTGTTTCCTTATCCTTGCCATAACTGATACGCAATCCTTGTGCTTTTCTGGAGTTTTTACTCTAGTGTTTTTAATTGATGTACTGCTTGCTTGAAATCTATAATTTTCTTATCGCTTATGGCTTGTTTGTTAGCTTCCTTGAACTGTACCGTACAAGAAAAAGTGAGATATAAGGTCGAGATCCATGATGGGATTCCCTTCCTCACCTGTCTGCCCTGGACAGTTCCCCAACATAAGAAGAACTCTGCTGGATCAGGTTGATGGGTCATTCAGTCCAGCATCCTGTTCTCATAGAGGCCAACTTGATGGCCATGGGACCAGAATGCAACAGCCCTCTCCCCATTTGTGGTTCCCAGCAACCGGCAATCAGAGGCTGCCTCTGAGAGTAGAGGTAGAATATAATCATTACTGCCAGTAGCCATCAATCGCCTTATTTCCCATGAATTTGCCTGACCCTCTTTCAAAGCCAACCCAAGTTGGTGTCTATTGCTACACCTTATAGTTAGAATTTAGGGCAGAGAGGCTACAAGGGAAAAGGGAAGATTATTTTTTATTATTGTTACTTCATCATCATCATCATCATCATCATTCCTTTCAGAGTTGTATGGTTGATGGAGATGCCCTATATAATGCAGTATGCTTTGCACACTTAAAAATGTACTCTATAAACTCCCCAACCCAGCAAAGGTTGGCTATGATGAAGGCTGCAGCTCTTTGCACACATGCCATATTCTTCCGTGTATAAGACGAGCTTTTTTGACCCAAAAATGAGGTTCCAAATTTAGGGTCGTCTTATACACCAGTAGTGCCTCGGGGGTGGTGGTGGTTTTTTGGCGTGAGCCCGAGACTGTAAGCAGTGATTGGCCGCTTGATTGTTGGGGGGTGGGGATGCCGAAAATCGCTCACCTGTCGGAACGAAGCCCGAGCCCGAGATTGGAAGCGGCAATTGTAAGCGACGTGAGCGGTTGTGTGCTGCGTTCTAGTGGGTGAGCGATTTTCGGCATCCCCCCAAATAATCCTCCCCCAAAGCTTAATCCCCCCATTTTCTAAGTTTTGAGGCCCCCAAAATAGGGCATCCTTTACATGGGAGCCTCCTATAGACAGAAAGGTACAATTTGTGGGAGTAAGCCCCCTTGAATACAGTGGTGCTTACTTTTGAGTAAACGTGCACAGGACTGGGCTCTGTGTGAACAGCTCAAGCCATTGGTGTCACGAGCGTATTTGTAATTGGGAGTAAGCAAGTATCACAATGTTCAGCTGAACTTATTCCCAAGAAAAGGTGCCCAGGAAAGGGCCTTGTGTCACAGATAACTTTTGCTAGACTGGGGCCAAAGGCTGAAATCCTGTGTGTTCCTCATGAGGTGCATGTTTCACTGAACTCAGTGAGTAGCATTCAGCTAGATTTTACTTGGACTAAGTTGGGCCCATTAATTCATAGAATCATAGAGTTGGAATAGGCCACAAGGGCCATCGAGTCCAACCCCCTGCCAAGCAGGAAACACCATCAGAGCACTCCTGACATATGGTTGTCAAGCCTCTGCTTAAAGACCTCCAAAGAAGGAGACTCCACCACACTCCTTGGCAGCAAATTCCACTGTCGAACAGCTCTTACTGTCAGGAAGTTCTTCCTAATGTTTAGGTGGAATCTTCTTTCTTGTAGTTTGGATCCATTGCTCCGTGTCCGCTTCTCTGGAGCAGCAGAAAACAACCTTTCTCCCTCCTCTATATGACATCCTTTTATATATTTGAACATGGCTATCATATCACCCCTTAACCTCCTCTTCTCCAGGCTAAACATGCCCAGCTCCCTTAGCCGTTCCTCATAAGGCATCGTTTCCAGGCCTTTGACCATTTTGGTTGCCCTCCTCTGGACATGTTCCAGTTTGTCAGTGTCCTTCTTGAACTGTGGTGCCCAGAACTGGACACAGTACTCCAGGTGAGGTCTGACCAGAGCAGAATACAGTGGCACTATTACTTCCCTTGATCAGGATGCTATACTCCTATTGATGCAGCCCAGAATTGCATTGGCTTTTTTAGCTGTCGCGTCACACTGTTGGCTCATGTCAAGTTTGTGGTCAACCAAGACTCCTAGATCCTTTTCACATGTACTGCTCTCAAGCCAGGTGTCACCCATCTTGTATTTGTGCCTCTCATTTTTTTTGCCCAAGTGCAATACTTTACATGTCTCCCTGTTAAAGTTCATCTTGTTTGTTTTGGCCCAGTTCTCTAATCTGTCAAGGTCGTTTTGAAGTGTGATCCTGTCCTCTGGGGTGTTAGCCACCCCTCCCAGTTTGGTGTCATCTGCAAATTTGATCAGGATGCCCTTGAGTCCATCATCCAAGTCGTTGACAGAACCCTGTGGCACCCCACTAGTCACTCTTCTCCAGGATGAAGAGGAACCATTGATGAGCACCCTTTGGGTTCGGTCAGTCAGCCAGTTACAAATCCACTGTGTGGTAGCATAGTCAAGACCGCATTTTACCAGCTTCTTTACAAGAATATCATGGGGCACCTTGTCGAATGCCTTGCTGAAGTGGCCTTGCTTACAGTGGTCTGCTCTGAATAAAACATCATTTAATACTAACCAGTGGGATTTACTTACAATTAAACACGTCTTTTATTTATTTCATGGCATTTATATCCTACCTTTCCTCTGCCATTGAACCATTTGCATCAAAGTGGTTCCTATGTGGGCATTCATCCAGGCACTGACCTGAACTTGACCTAGTTAGCTTCAGCAAGGCGGTGGCTTTCATCTGCCAGGATGGGGCTACAAGGCTGCTTGTTTTACTGTCTCATCTTGCTGTTAAACAGTGAAGCCTATCCTTCCCAGATACCCAGTTCCTATACCAGACAGTAACTCCCCTGCAAAATTCTGCATACATGGAATTGCAGAATGTAAATACTCCAGCCACTTTGCCCCTCTCTCTCCTGCTGTTCTCCCCTCCTGCCCAGTGGCTCTGCTCCTCACTTTTATATGACAAGCACCCAGCACTATCTTTTCCTCCTTCCAGCGTGTCTCCCTTTGCATTGACATAGTTCTCTTCTGTAGTTCTCCTTGCTGACTGTTTATGTCATCACTGATTCATAATGTAGAAAGGGCAAGAATCTCCATGTTGCTTTTTGAGTGCATCTGAGCCATGGGTATCCAGCCCTGTTCATCACGCAGGCTTTCGGAGTGCATGCACATTGGAAGTTTGACAGCACTGCGGTCGGTTTTTATTTAAGAACATTTTAACTTAATTTTTTATTTGCAAATTTAACAAAGAGGGGAAGGAAAAATTAAAGGATTATAAATAAGAAATAAGAAATGATAGAAAATAATAATAATAATAATAATAATAATAATAATAATAATACCAGTGACAGCAGCTCACATTAATGATACAACAACCATCAGTGCACCCGTCTTCTGTTAAACATATAAGTTAATGTAAGCCCTCCAAATGTCCAAATAGTTATCCCTACAAAACTGATGTCCATAAGAAATGTGTTCAAATGTAGCCAGGGTGATGGTGTCCTCAGACCATTACTTGATAGACATAGTGAGGGTAGCCTGCGCTTTAGCAATCCAAGAGCAGGAACCTAAAATACAACAACTGGCAGTGGCAGCTGGCAACATTGTACAAGAGACCTGTACGGAAAGACAGCCAAAGGTAGCAAAAGAAGTCCAAGTAGAATCAAAGGTGTGAGAATAGGTGGAGGAAGGAGATACAAGGGGATCAGAGGTGAAAAAACAAAGTATTGCAAACTTGATATTGATTCTGAGGTGTGATGGAAGCCAGCCTAGGGACTTGGGGGAAAATAGCACTTGGGTTTGTCTAAGGTCTACTCAGAGAAGACCCACTATAATGAATGAACCTAAGTTAGTTGTGTGTGTGACCTTTCATGGATCTACTCAAAGTAGGGCTAACATTGGATATAACCCATGGTCACTTGAAGATTGACTTGTCCTGCCCTCCCTATCCTGGTGTCCAGATCTTTAGGCTGAAACTCCCATCATCCCTCACCACTGGCCATGCTGATTGGGCTGGTGGGAGTTGGGAGTCCAGAAACATCTTATTTGCCATAAGAATGTAAGAAGAGCCTGCTGGATCAGGCCAAAGGCCCATCCAGTCCAGCATCCTGTTTTCACAGCGCCTGTGGTATTAAAGCATTACCTGCAATGCATATCTATTCCATTGCTGATGAACCCACAGCATCCTGAATACATTGTTCCATGGCAGGGGCATAGGAACCTTTGTTCACAGTTGTTTTCTCAGATGTGATGAGAGGGAAGGGATTTAGCTGTCCCACATGCCATCAGGGAATGTTGATTTTTCCAGCCCCCAGGCAAAGGACTTTAGGAAGCCTTCTTGGATGCCTCTACCTGGCAATCTTTACAATTAGGGGTGGTGACATATATTGCCAGAGGTTCAGAGTGACAAATGCCAGTCCAAGACTCTCAGATTCTGATAAGCGGTGTGTGTGTGTGTGTGTGTGTGTGTTTATAGCTACACAACAAAGCAATCAAGAGCAGACACGGAAGCAGGAACAGCAGGAACAAAGGGAAAAGGCTGAGAAATGTCACGTGGGAAAGAAGGAACAAATGTACCCCAAAGAGAAGCAGAAGAAGCAGCTGAAGCCAAGGCCAAATTACCAGCAGTCAAACTGAAGGCATCAGAAGCCAGTACAGGGCCAAAGACGGAAACAGCAAAAGAGGCAAGGTCTGACGCAATAGCCAGAGCCGCAGAGAAGGTGGCAAGATCACAAATTGCATTGGTTTTGCAATCGGCAAAAGCAGAGGTAGAGCTTAGACCTTTATATATTATTGCTGTTCTAACTGTTGTGATTATTATGCCGCCAATGTACAAAGTGCTTTTCAGATTAACAGCAAGCAGGTTCTGCCCTTGAGAAGCTTATAATCTTAATTTCAGCAGTGGGAGTCACAAAGCAGTTACATGTACTGAGGCTGTTTTGGTTGAGGAGTGAGCAAAAGGCTCAAAGGAAAAGGTGGATTTTGAGGAGGCGTTCTCAGTGGGGGGTGGGGTTGGATTAATTATGGCGAGAGGACAGAAAGAAAGAGAAACCAAAGGACTCTTGAATGGCTGGGGAAGGACTGTAGCTTAGTGGCAGAACATCTGCCAAGCATGCAGAAGGTCCCAGGTTCAATCCCCAGCATATTCAGGTAGGGCTGGGAATGTCCCTGTTTGAAACCCTGGAGAACAGCTGCCACTCAGAGTAAGGTAAAGGTAAAGGACCCCTGGACCGTTAAGTCCAGTCAAAGGCAACTGTGGGGTGCGGCGCTCATCTCACTTCAGGCCGAGGGAGCTGGCATTTGTCCACAGACAGCTTTCTGGGTCATGATGTAGGCATTGCTGAGCTGGGTGGTATTAGTCTGGTAGCTCCTTACATCCCTATCTTGGCTTGGACCGTGATGTCAGTGCAATATGAGCACGTACTTCAAAGCCCAACTCATTCTCCAACATCACTGTTTTGCCTAACAAGAGTAGACCGGAGAATCCCTTAGATTCCCCCAGAGCAAAGTTCTGATATTTGCATTGACAATTCTGATAAATCTGTTGCTGACTTTTTAGCTGAGGCACAGAAGAAGAAATCCAAGCTTGAGACAAAAGGATACTCTTCTGAACAACTTGGAGGAAAACGGAATAAATGAGACTGAAATGCAATGAAGGCAGAATGTGATCAGTAGATCCATGGTATGTAGTGGGAACAAGTGAACCTTCTTTGAGTAATAGCAAATCACACCCATTAATGGTGTGTCTTCCTTGGGAAACATCAATAAACATTGATCAATAAAGATGCACAGAATTCTGAAGTTTATTGTCTAAGCGTTTGGAAGGCTGGTGCCATAGTACCGTTTTCAATGCAGGGAGAACATCAGAAGGATAATGGGGCAGATGAAACAAGCTTTCGTGATGGCAGCATGTTCCTGGATTCAGCTGGTGCACCACAACTTTGGACTTCTGTGTTCATGTGTTTACTGCAATACCAAAACCCTTTTCGCAACTTCCCTCCACATATAGAGGAAATGCAAAGAGGGGGGAATGAGACCATACCCACTCCTTACCCCCCCACCATGTTAGCAGCTGACCCAGCTTCTGAACTTTGCATGTAGAGCTGAAGGCCTGGAAAGGGCCACCTGGGTGCATACGGTTGTGTGTGCATAGGTGTCATCAGGATTTGCAATTGTTTGACACATCCATGGACACCCATCTTTTATGTACCCAGGTGCATCTTTTCAGACCTCCAACTCTAGGGTGCAAGGCCAGTGGGGCACAGCAGTCTTGGGGGCATAGCCCCATTTCCTTCTCTACATTTGGAGGGAGTCTATGAACAGCGATGACTTCAGTGTTCAAAAGGACCACCACAGATTCAGTTCTGCAGGTAAATTGTTTGGATCACTTCAAACACGATGCCTTGCAGTGTAGCCTGTCCACACATTCAGCTGCCAGTCATCAAGGGTACAGTAATTTTGTAGAGAAATCAAGTGACGTACCTGTAGGTGTGATGGTCTGAAAAAAGCTGTTGTGATTTGTTATCAAGTCTGCAGCACACATTTTCCTTTACAAAGATCGTCCTCTTGTAGGAAAACTGTGACGAGGATATCAAATGACACTCAGTGGGTAGAGACCTCAGGGTCTTGCCTGAAATCCCCAGTCAGTACTGTGTACATAGTCACACACAACCTGAGCTCATAGGGACACTTTTGAAGGAGTGTTTCACCTGCATTAAAACCTGAAACTGGATGGATTCATCTTACATCTTGACATGCTGAAAAGGTCTTGTGAATGGAGTCCATGACTGTATAACCAGGTCCTGGGGCACGTTGCAACAATAAAACACAACAATAAAAACAGTTTAAAACAACTTACAATAATAAAAATAAGGTTAGTGGTTATTGTTGGAGTAGGAGTAAGGAGACCCAGGTTCAGAGCCCATCTGAACCTTGAAGCTCATTGGCTGACTTTGGGCTAGCCGCAATCTCTCAGCCTACCCCACTTCACAAGGTTGTTATGAGGATAAAATGAGTTGTGGGGGCGTACGGTGTGTGCCTTGCAAACCTGTCTCTGTGTTCTGATAATCCTGACCTGCACTGGTCCTGTAAGCACTCAGAATAGCCCTGCTGGGCAGCTGCTTGAGGATACAATGGTGCCAGCGAAGTCATCTTTCTTCACTGCCGTCACTGCTACACTGTAGGCACGGCTGTGCACTCTAACCTGTGTTTGATCAGCTTCGGTATGAGGCTTGTACCACTTGTGCTGTAGCCACCATTCAACCTATTGATCTAATTCAGGGGTGGCTAAGCCATAGCCCACATCCGCCCCTTAGGCACCCCCACCCCAATTTGTCATTTTTTAACTTATAAAAAATATAAAAAAGGTAAAGGTAAAGGTACCCCTGCCTGTACGGGCCAGTCTTGACAGACTCTAGGGTTGTGCGCCCATCTCACTTAAGAGGCCAGGGGCCAGCGCTGTCCGGAGACACTTCCGGGTCACGTGGCCAGCGTGACATCGCTGCTCTGGCAAGCCAGAGCCGCACACGGAAACGCCGTTTACCTTCCCGCTAGTAAGCGGTCCCTATTTATCTACTTGCACCCGGGAGTGCTTTCGAACTGCTAGGTTGGCAGGCGCTGGGACCGAACAACGGGAGCGCACCCCGCCGCGGGGATTCGAACTGCCGACCTTTCGATCGGCAAGCCCTAGGCGCTGAGGCTTTTACCCACAGCGCCACCCGCGTCCCCTATAAAAAAAAAAAAAAGACTTCTCCCATGGGTCACCTGCTGTGATGCCATGATGGTAAAATATATTTTAATTAAATCAAACATTTTTTTTAAATTAAAAGAAAAGCTAGTCCCCCTCTGTGATGTTAAGAGGTGATTTAGTTGGCACTGGAAGACCTTACCACCATTAGTCCATTTTTTTAATTTAACAAATACATTTTACTGACTACTCTTGCAGGTCATTGCTGTGAGGCCAAAAGGTTTTTGCAAATTGACACCTTCTCAAAGTCTGTCCTTCTAAGAGACAGAGAGAAAAAGAGAGGACCTGAATTTAACAATGAATATTGAATGATTTTTTTAAAATCAAATAAAGTTAAAATAGTGAAGAATAAGGCCTTTCAAGAACTGTAATTCTCACCCCACCTGCTTTTGCAAGTATGCCTCAGGGTGTTGATCATGGGCCAGTGCTGCCCTTGGCCCCAAGAAAGTTAACCTCATGCACTGATCTAATATATTGATATGATAGGCTGTATGCCTGGGCCCCTTCTAATTCCTGGGTCCACCATGAATTCAATTCCTGGAAAAGCCAGGCTATCTTCCTGGTGAGGTAATGGCCCTCTAAGTATGGGCCATTATGGTAACAAAGGAAGAGACTGTGTGCCTGATGGAAAATGGGTGGGCTCCCTCCTTCAACTCGCTGATAGTTAGAAAGACAAAGGCAGAGTTGCTGTAAGAGAGGTAGAAGCAAGAAACAAGGCTGCAGGCTGGGCAGCTGGGAGAGTGAACCATGCCTGATTTCTGCTGGAATCCAAGACTGTGGCTCTGGGAGAACCAAGACCTTTGTGAGCTGTTAATGCTGTAAGTGCCTCCATCATAAGCTTAGGTTGTGTATATGTGTAAATAAACCATATATCATAATGACACCACCATTTCTGCTGTCCCTCATTGCATGAACCCTGGTTGAGTGCCTGGACCCCCATGGAATATGAGATTGTGGTGGTGCGAAACAGCATTGATCAGAAGCGTAACTTCTTGGCTAAGGAAGTCCAAGCCAGAGAATGACCATATACATCCTTTTTTGTTTCAGTTTGCAGCTGCATGGAAATGGCCTCAAAGAACATTAATTACTGATTTCCTTAGGCAATGACCTAAGGCAAGTTGCCTCTTTAGAGATGGTGGGCTTGGAGCATTCCTCACTCTCCCTCCTCTTCCCTTGAGCTTCAGATAATGGAATAAAGTTCCAACCTCAATAGCATCTCCAGTAGAGGTCTCTTTCATGGATTCCCACCAAATTTAGCCCTTCAGGCCAGGCTTCCCCTGTTAAAGAAAGCCAGATGGGAAACATCAACGGAAAATCTCATTTTTTAGTAAAGTGATAATGTACTGCACTTCCCTTTCATTTGGTGCTGGATTAACACCCTTGCCTAGTGAGAGGTAATGCCTGGTGCCTTAATGACTCTGAGAGATTATTAATATGTTATGGTGTGTTGTACAAATACCCAGTGGGTATCCCTTAATGTGTGAACATTGAGAATGTGTTGTGCAAATGGCAAAGGTAGGACTGTCCCAAGATTTCTGTTTGGGGCAGATATGAAACAGCTGCCCTGTTCTACCCAAGGCATGCCTCTATATTTCATTGCTGAGATCAGTTCCAACAATGTACTTGGTAAAGCAATTCAGGACTTCTTATTTTGAATAGAAAAGGAGTACAGGGCTTGCTTATAAGATGAGCTTTCCTAAACAGGATAATTTCATAATTGACTTCATTTGTTGGCTACTTTACAGCAGCCTTCTTCAACCTGGTATGCTCTTGATGCTTTGGAATATAGTTCCCATCAACCCTAGCCAGGCTGCTGTGAGTTGTAGTCCAAAATATCTGGAGGGTACCAGGTTGCCAAAGGTTGGTTTACAGGATTAAGATGTTAGTCAGAGACTTGCCATGAGTAAATTTTATGTAAGAGCCTCTGGATAATTAGAGGGCTCTTTGACTTTTCTGCTTCTTTTGGGGGTAAATGAGACCAGTGCATATGGCAGCCAGTTCATCATTTGTAGGGGGTGCAGAGGAGCAGAGGGTTCAATAATGGAAGCTATGAGGAAATGAGCCCAAAAAAGTACAGTGGTGCCTCGCAAGACGAAATTAATTTGTTCCGCGAGTTTTGTCGTCTTGCGATTTTTTTCATCTTGCGAAGCACGGTGTCGGGAAAGTTTTGGAAAAGCTTCAAAAATCACCAAAGTCTTTAAAAAACTCAAAAAAGGCTACCACACCGCGTTCTATGAGTTGCTCCTCGAAGTCAAGTCGCAACTGTATTAACGGTGTTAAGAAAAAGGAAACAAACTTGCAAGACGTTTCCGTCTTGCGAAGCAAGCCCATAGGGAAAACCGTCTTGCGAAGCAGCTCAAAAAACAAAAAACCCTTTCGTCTAGCGAGTTTTTTGTCTTGCGAGGCATTCGTCTTGCGAGGTACCACTGTATAGCTGATGCCTGGGCATTCTCTGCTCTCCATATCAGCAGTCTTCACAGACTGAGTCCACCTCCAACATCTAAAGCCTCTCCTACCTATAAACAAGCTTACAGATCCAGTGGTGGCTGACACCCATTGAGACTGGTAGGGCGAAAGTCAGGGAGCCCAACATTAGGTGGCGCTGGAGCCCATGACAGGCAGAGCCAACCAATTCTGGTTTTATCCCAATCCTTCCTGCTGAGTTCTGCAAGGGCAACACTGAGATTTAAGAAAGAGACAACTGGCAGGCAGTGCTACCCACCAGATTAGTTGTAGGTCAGGGCTGGCTGAGGGCAGGCAGGTTGGTGGGGCAGACCCCAAAGCATTCTTACTAGCTCTATTACTGACTTAGGAAAATCTGCGTCTTTGCATACTTATGGAGCCCCTGGCTCTGTTCTTTCAGTGAAGCCCAGGTGAGGGAGAACCTTGCACTCATCTTTATAGAAGCATTTGCCCAGCTGCAACTGAAGTCATTCTTCCCCTGATATCCCACCCCCTGATGTGGCCAGAGTGGGCTCTGTCTATGTTAACTGGCAGGCACGGTTGGGGGGCAAGGGAGGAAGGCGGAACAGCAGCA